GTGTATAGAATACTGAATAAATTTAAATCAGTTAGTTCAGTGACCTCTATTCGTGTTCAATAACAGTGGTTCACATGATTTCACAATAAGTATCTCTGTAAGTTCACTTAGTGCATTGAAAGGTTGGATTTAACCATGAAAAACAAGGAGGTTGGAGAAGAACTCCGGGATAAAGTTGTAGAAAAGTACAGATCAAGAGAAAGAGTATAAAAACACTAAATATCCCTCTGAGCACTGAAAAGCTGATCATTCCAATTTTTTTAGCATTATGTCTAATGCAATACAGTCCATCACTCAAACAACTCCTTCAAGCGTGATAGCACAAGCGTTATGTTATTACTTCTGGTTCCGACTGGGAAGCTTGTCAAGACTACTAAGAATATAGAGCAAATCTTAGAGGAAAACCTGCTTCAGATCTAAAACTGTTGAAAAAATTAATCTTTCACCAGAACAGTTAGGCAAAGCACTAGGCAAAAGCTAGGATTTCTGACTAGTTTCTCAATAGAATTATTGAGAATCTGTGACCAGACTTGTAAACTGTTGTCCATAAGTGTTCACCAAGCTCGAGCTGAGCTGAGGAATTTGGACTACTAGAGTGCACAGTTGGTAGAGACTATACCCATAAAGATTTACAGCCATAATTGCTGCCAAAAGTGCTTTCATTCATTCCATGAATTTGTAATCTCTTGACTACAAAGTAATTTATTTTTTATCATGGCATTTTAAATGTTAAAAAACAGTCTTTCAACTAATATAATTATTTTTTTAAAAAAAATAATAATTTAGTTCTCACTCACAAAAATAAAGCGGTGCTTGGGTATCAAGTCATTCCATTCCATTCAGTTCATGAGTCTGAATACTTTGGAATCAATTATATTTTTTTCACTTTTAGTTTTTTTAATTACATTCACCCTTAAAAGTCTTCAGTTTGAGAATTAAAGTTTTGAATAAAAAATTAAGTTTAAAAATGTGTATGCATCACTTTGTAATCTCACAAAATGGCACACTGTAAGGTTCGTCTGAATACTATTGCAAAACTGAGAAACAGCCTAAATTGAATTCAAGAAGTTTCTTACTTTATTCCTTCACAAGAAGCCTTCAGGACTCACATGGAACCCTATATAACTATATTTAAACACATGTATATATCATATTTGCATTCTGCTCAATAAATAGAATATGAGTACAACAATCAAATTATCTATTAAATAATAATGATGCTTTTGGTAAGTTTGTTCGAAAAATTATCTTTCAAGCAGCAGAGTTCTAACAAGTTTTCACAAATGCTACATATGCAGCCATTCAGAATGCTCGGGGTGTTTGCAATGTGCCTAGAAAGCTTAGCTTTTTGTTTTTGCACAATTATCAGTTCATACTGCGAGAATCACTGTTCAGCTGAGTGACTACTCTGCCCCTCTACAAGGGTGCAGGAGAACCGAGCCGGTCTCATTTGTTAGTGCTGCATTTGTGTCGATGAAAGTAGAATTCCAGCTGCTTTCACTCCTGAGATTTAGCACTTTCATTTTTTGACATGTGAAGTCATTCCCTGTTCTAGAATTCACCATTAAAAGCACAGGAGAACCTAGTGCTGTTTTTCTGCCGGTTTGTGCTGCTGGATAGATACTTTAATTCCCAAGTTATAGTGCTTTTGTGTCTTGGGTAATCACCTGACTGTCTACATAAAAAAGTTTAGGTCCATAGACCATGTAATTTTAATTACTTGTGTTACGACCCCAAGTGTCTAGGGGTAAAGGGGTGTAACATTTAGGATAATTTTTGGAAGCGGGTGAGATCTGGTGAGGGACTAGGAAGCGTGATAACAAGGGTCCGTGCAAAAGTAATGATTTAAGTTGAATAAGTGACTAGTTTGTAATTGGACACAATAACACACAGGGTAAGGAAACTAGAGTGGTGCCAAAGAAAAGAAAAAAACAAACAAAATGGAGCTGGCTAAGAAAGTGAGGGAAAGGTAACCTGACTACAAAAGAAAACGGTCTTTGGCATCTTCAACACCCTTGCTAACCTTCACTGACTTCCCCAAACCATACAAGACAAACGGCGCTCACCCGTACTAAACTGGTGTGACTAATACAAGAATCAACTACAGTAGTGTAATGGTGGGCCAATGGGGAAGGGAGAACAATCAAAGTCAGAAGTCTGGAACATAACAAGAAACACACATAGACAACACACTGTGAAGTAACAACTTGTGAGGATTTTTTTTGAAAAAAGATTTAAATGTGGCAATATTTTTAGAACTGAAGAAGTAATCAAAAAAGTTTCTCATTGTATCTTTTTTAAATAGGCACTCCAAAGGCAGTTTAAAGATTTGACCCATCTTTCAAGGCTAAGTATTAAAAAAGTTTAGAATTAGTAATTTCTTGCTAATGCTAAATACAATTGTTGTATTATTTTAGGCAAAGCGAATATCTTAACATTAAAAATTGCATTGAATTTTAGAGTATGTTTTGTTATGGGCACTATGTACTAAGTTGACCTTAGTAGTTCAACAAATCTGCAACACAAAATTGGAATCGCTACTATATCACACAGACTTCAATAATATTTCAAAACATTTTTGTTAACTTAAACTTTGAAGAGAATATCTTCATTATGGTATTTAAATTTGAACGTTATTACAGTTATACATCCACCCATACATTTTCTAACCTCTTTATCCAGTACAGGGTCGTGGGGGAGTAAGAGCCTATTCCAGCAAGCAACAGGCACAAGGTGGGGTATACCCAGAACAGGAGAGGATGCTAGTGTTTTGAGGGGCACACAGCCATTCACACTAGAGCCAGTTTTCCCCAGAAGACAATTAACCTACCAGTATGTCTTTGAACTTTGGGAGCACCCAAAAAAAACATGCAAACACAAGGAGAACATACAAACTCCATGCAGATAGCACCACAGGAAATGAAATAAAACCAATTATACTGGTCATTTGACCACCAGAGAGTAAGGGAATTTAAAGAAGCTCTTGAGTTTTGTAATATTTACTTTTAAATACTAAATTATTAAAGCCTATATATCATTTATTTTTTTATAATTGTAATCTAAAATATTTTGTATACATTCTATTTTTTTTCTGTAGCTGCCCTTTTTCTTTGCCATAAGTAACACTAACTACCAGGAAGTTGCCCAGTGGGTTTTGTGGAAACTGGAGTTACTAAGCTAATACAGCACCTGTGAGCAATCAATCTGTTCCATTACCCATACCCATAATTTCCTTAGGGGATCAATAAAGTATCTATACACCCTAGCAGGAAAAGTGAAATAGTAGCTACTCTCTGCTAATGGGAAATATAAATATATTAATATAAATACTTGCATCTAGATGGAGGCAGTCTGCATGAGCGTCTGTAATATATGATTGAAACCAAAATTAGCATGTCTGTGCAAAACACTACATAATAGTTTATGAAATTCAGAATACAAATGTTCTTGTCGTTAGCTGCTATGAAAAAACAAAACTAAATGTACTGCAATTGAGAAAAAAGTCCTGCATAGGATTTTATGAAATCTTAATTAGGATGTAGGAGAAAAAAGTCCTTCATATGAGTTTTAATTATTTTTTTTTCCTCATGGCACCACTACACTTCTGTTCAGACCTACCAATCTTGGTAAAAAAATGTTCAAGTTAAAGCATCTTGTTCATTAAGTTTAAACTGTGTAAATATGCAAATGTTTATGCTCAACAAGCTAAAGAATATGATGACCAGGTAAATTATAACTCATAATACAACATGACCGTTGTCACTGAATTTCTCATGATATCAAATCTCTCATTTTCACTTTTCGTTTCTCATCCTCTACTTCTCGCACTTCTCACTCTGCAGAGGGTCCCCAGCCTCCTCATCTTCAAGGGGGGAAGAAGGGGGAAGCAGGAGATGTGAACACATTGTTTCATAACATCAGTAATCTTAAATGTTGTAGTTTATTGTTTATTTAGTTTTTAAAAGCAAATACATTAATATTTAACATGATATGATAAATGAAAATTATTTGAAAATCAATATAGCATATTAATTATTATAGTTTACTATTAGAGAAAAAAATTCTCAATGTTTTGCATTGGTCAGAAATCAAACCCAGGAGCTTCTAACTGGCAGGTGAAAATTATTACCAGTGAACCAAAGCATCACTCATATTAGACAAGTTAAACCACAAGGATTTCATTTTACCTTACAACATTCACAACAGCAAAACATAGTTAAAATAAGCATGTCAAAACATTTTATAAAATAACCACACATGACCGAGTTACTTGTGTTTCAAGAATTTAATGCAGATGTTTACAAAGGAAGTGCAATACACTTCCACTACCAGCTAATAAATAGCTGGTTGCAAAAAACATGTTTGGCTAGTCTTGTACAGTGGTTTTAATAATTTATTTGTATTATGTTTATATTCATAAATTACTATTGTAAAAGATTTCGGAAACGTTTTGCTTTACGTTTTACTAATTTTTCTTTAGTTACATGATTCTTTGGACAATGTAATGAATCACATAGCAGCACTGCAAAGTCATTTTGCCACAGCATCAAGTTTTGATGCGCAATTAGAGTGGATACATCGTTAGGGTTAGGGTTAGGGTTGTGATTGTATTTATTTTAAATCAGCTTTCTATATTTTACTTAAAGTGGAGATTTAAAGGACCTCAAAACTATGCTGCCTTTGCTTTCGTGCATTACCTGCCGTAAAGTCCTAAAGTAGCTTTCTTAATGAGAAAAATGTATACTTCCTTTTAAAAGCTGAGGGTAATCATTAAAAAACTCCATTCTTTATTTTTATTTAATTAAATTGTGTATGTATAATTAAAATTCCTGAAATGTAATATATTGGCTATTAGTATAAACAATGTATCATTTTTGACACAATTTCCTACCACTTTTTTTGTTTCTGCAGGAAACTCAAACCAAGGATCTCACTATATTCAGCAAAGTATTTAAAAAAAAAATCCAATAAAGTAGTAACATTTTTTTTTCATTTTTCAGCCTAACAGAGAGAGCACAACTCCTCAAGAATGTTTTTAAAAAGAGTACTATCAACCTATACCATTCAGAATCCATGCAGCACAACCTGCTACGTAAGTGAAATGTCATTCCTGCTACTATTTATTTTTTTAGGAGATGATAAAAGTTTGCAGTTGTTTACTATATCCAAGGGCTTCAACACAGCTTCAACTCCAGAAAATCTAACATTGTGTGCTTATATTTCATATCTTTATCCGCATACTAAAATGAGGGAAGGCTCATGCCTACTGTACCTTAAAGATGTTTTCTTTATTTGTTATTCTTTTAAATACTCTTATAAAGTGGGATATTAAATAACTTGGGAGAAACCTATTTAACACGTGTTAATTGAAAGAATAGATGTTGAGATCATTTATATTCAATTCATTTACTTTTTTTACTATCAGCCACCAATAAAGTAAAATATTTTGGTGATCTGAATCAAATATTGAAAGTACAATAAACTTTTTTTCCCTGAAATTTCAAAAAACATCAAACAGTAATGTTCAAAAAGCATCTAAAGTCTACCTTTATTTAAAAAACTTGTGATCAGTACTGAATATTTATTAACTTTCTGAATATCACTTATAATGATAATTCACAAATTCAGCCTATACTTTTATACCCTGATCAATAATTAGACATTTTACAATGCTTGAAAAAGATCTATATTGAAGATTGCCAAAAGTTGCTTTTACATTATGGATGAGGAAAATAGGAAAATAAACACTAAAATAAAATGAAAAATAAAATAATCACATATTGTGAATTTCTTCCTGAAAAGGAGCTCATTTAAAAGTAACATTAGCTTCCTGTCAACACAGAAATATGAATTCTCAAGAGATGCATCTTCACCTTCTATGTAAAATCTTATTACAGCAGTGTAGGAGATATCATCTTGAACAGTTTGAGCTAGGCTAAGCAGCTCAGACAGTATATGCATATTTACACACACATATAGCAACACCCAAATTTCACACATTGCAATACTGTAATCAGAATTATGTAGTCTAGATTGATCTCATATGTAAAAATAACTCCTTTTGTAAATTTTACACTCTTCTGCCATCTCAAAATGATTTTATTAAATTTGGAATATTTAGAGCCGTAACAAACATACAGCCTCAAAATAAGACATGCTGTTAATGTACTCCCTTGTCCTGACAGTTGTATTTAATTTATGATTTATCTGTTGAATATTAAGTCAGTATTTAATAATTTGTTTATTTCTAACGGAAAGTCTTAAAGCAATTGTCAATTTTTACATGTAGATCAATTTATCTCTAATATCCTAAGCTCTCTAGACATTGGAAAGACTGGAACATTAATGAATGTTAAACGAATGCTCAATGAATAGCATTTTTGACATCAAATCAAATCTGAAATCTGTTAGTTTTAACCTACACAGAAAACTAATGCAGATGTAACTTGGGTTGAAACTAACTTTACAACAATCTTACAACTGCAATACTTGATTATTCAACCATTTTTACTTATGATTTCTGGTTCGGGAGGCACGGTGGCACCATGGTTAGCATTGATTCCTTGCACTGCTGGGTCTCTGGGTTCAAATTTAGACCTGTGTTACTGTCTGTGTGGAGTTGGTATATTTGCCCTGTGTTCATGTTTCCTCTGGGAGTTCAGAGTTTCCTCTGGGTGCTCTAGTGTCCTCCAACAGTCCAAAAAATACTGGATATGGGTTCAGGAAGCTATAGCCTATCCAGGAAAGCAACGGGTGAAAGGTAGGGTACACACTTTATAGGGCACCTATCCATTGCAGGCAGACAGACACAAACTCACACCAGGGCCAATTTTCCCAAAAGCCAATTTACTTACTTGTGTGTGTATGTTTTTGGACTGTGGCAGCTAAATCATTAACTAAATTGACCAGATGAGAGAGAAATTAAGTGTGAAAAAGAAAGACAAGTCATTTTGTTATACTGAGGCAGTTTTCTAAAATAACTTTTTTCTGTTACAGATGGTTATGCTTTCTCTCAGGATGAGAATGGAATAATCTCCCAGTCAGAAGTCATAAGAGCATATGATACCACTAAGCAAAGATCAGAGGACTGGTGAAGCACTTTCTTCAGAGCTAATTGAATACACCTGCAAGCAGACACAGTACACTCGCAGGTTTTCTACATAAAAAAGTGGTCGATACTGTAGTTATTAAGCAGACATATGCACTGTGCTTGCATTCTACAAAGGTTTGTTGGAAATTCACAATAATCATTCACTAAGGCTTAATGTACCATTAATGTTGGATCAGTTGGAGACTGCTCCTACTTTACAGTGTCTTAAAAAGTCATGATGTTGTCACTATTTACTAATTACAATTCTGATCAGGTAATGGCACATAAGGGTGTATGTTTATTGGAACATAAACTATTAAATAATAAAATATTATGGTTTGCCATATTGCTCATGCAATTCCAGAAATCTAGTCTGCCGAAGAAAACGGATATTACCAATCAAATTCTAATGAAGTTTCAGCTATAGACAAAAACATAGGGAATTTTGAGGTCCTGTACTGAAGATTCCTTGCTTTTCACACTCAAGAAAGAAAACCTAGATTCAATGAACCTATCGTTGCTCATGCTTTCAAACCTGTAAGTTTACATTTTTTTATCACTGGCCATATGTGGGCACTTCTCTCTGCTGTTGTTTGTATTTATTTTGATCATTTTTTTGTGTTTTTTTTAGATTTATTGTCAATGTCCCTGCCTCAAGTTGTTGTTATGATAGCAAATGTTTACTTTAAAAAATACTTTAAAAGGTGTTTAAATTTCTACCATTTTATGTAACTTCTTGCTTAAAACTAATTCATTGGATTCCATGTTTTTGTAACTGCAGTAATTCTCACAATTGTGCCTAATCTAATTCATATTTTCCCCCAACACAAAGTATTAAACATGTTTGTGCTAATTTAAGATGTTAGTAAAGATTAAATTGTATCTTTGAATAAGTTACACCTCTATGTGTTGATTGACAGTATTTCCCTAGTTGTGTACAATAAAGTATTTACTACAGGTGAATTACATAAAATAACGATGTCACTAGCAGATGGTGTTCACAAAGCTATGATTTGGGTTAATTAAAAAGGCATGTACTAAAATCATTATTTTTATATACGTTGGCCACCTTTTACTTTTTAAGAAAAAGCCTAAAATAAGAAGTTTGTCCCTTGAAACGCAAGTGCCATTAGCTTGAGGAAAACTATCCAAAAATCTGCAGTATAGTACTGTCTTGATACAATGATTTTGTTTACTCATATTTTGTATTAAATAGAACCTTATATTTGCATGCTTTGTAGTAGTTATTGTCTTTTTTTCTCTTGAGTCTGTTAATATTTTAATCTCATTATGATTATCATGTCAGAATGGTGGACATTTATGCTTTTTTTCTTTTTGGTTAACTTTGTCTGTGACTTTGTTCCTCTCTCTCCCCATGGGAGACCAGTTACTTGAATGTGCGATTGTTTATATGCGTGTGCGTTTGTCTCTGTGTATGTAATTGTCTTTATAGCAGTTTTATCTGCATGATTTCAGTTGTTCTGTTTTCTGCTAATGCATGGCCACTGTTGATAAACTTACTGTGTCCATAGTGCATTTTCAAACCCACTAATATATAACTGGCTTTAGTAATGAAACAGCTTGGAAGGATGTTTTGTAAAGCATTCTTTACCTTTTCACTCAAATATTAGATGTTATTATTATTTGTAAATTTATATGTGTTCAATGTGTCAGTGTTCAATGGTCAAAACATGTTTTAACTTTCTTTTGAACTTGTATAACAGGGTAAAATATTTAAGCAAATTTTGAACTTTGTTATTCAAACAAAAGGGAAATTTGACTAAGAACTGATGATATTGGGTAAAAAATTGTTTTTATGTGTTTTACTTGTACTTGTTTTTTTTTTTTTGCTTTTACTTTGTTTCTACTCATCTGCTATTCCCACTTGTATTTTTTAGATATTTTATATGTTGCTACATAGGACATTTTGATGCAAAGGTAAAGCATGAGCACAGAATTGATGTCTTAAAAGACCATTTGTTGTCACTATATAATGTGCTTTATGTGAAAGATGGTTGTTGCATGAATGGTCAGTTTCAAACTCAGTGTTTTAGGTGCTTAGTTTCTCCCTCAAAGTGTCACATCAAATTTGCACTTTTAATCAGGTTATGTATTTTCAGTAATTGTCCTATTATTTGTCTCAATGTTTACTGATTTTACTTTTTACGATTCTGCATGTAACAACTGTGATTTTTAAATGTTCTGTCTTACTGTCATAAACAAATATTGAAATAAACTTAACAGTACAGAAAAAAACATTAATTAAAGTCTAATTATTTTGCCATCTTAATACTACAGCACTTGCACTTCCTATATCCTGAATTCTTGTATACCCCATCTGTGGTTTGTCCTTGACTTTATGAAATTATAATCTGAATGATTATTGCCAGGAAAAATGTGTACAAGTGAACTAAATTAAAGTAAAGACCATCAGGAACAGAAAAGGGAAGTGAGAAAGTGTTCCAAAATTGCTATTGCAGCTTGGTACAGTATATAGCCCGTGTTGCTTTTAGACAGCTAGTTAAAAAGAACAATGAGATGAAAATAAGTCATACCACTATGATGTCCAAAGAGGTGTATAGAAAAGGATAATTTACCATAACCGTTGAATCCAGTGGATAAAACTGAAGATCTTTAGTCACCAAGATAATATACTAACCTGTACTTATTCTTCATATTTTTTACACTTAAAACTGTTGTCTTACAGCTCTTGAGTGTTAGATTTTATTCTTGTGCCCATGTATTTGCATGTTATCCTGCCTTTCAAAGACATACTGGCTATAATAATTAGTGCATCTAAATAGTGCCTGTGAGTGTGTGCCTGCATGCCCTGCAATGGACTAGCAACCCGTTCAGGCTGTAGTACCGTCTTCCACCCTATCCTTCCAGCCTCCAGAATATATATGGTATAGTTTGGTATGATCTTTACCATGGACCATCTTTCTTATACTGGATGGATGGATTTTTTTAAATGGAATATTTACTAATATTGAACAGTGACACCAACAAAGAGATCGGATATGTGCTGATGATATAAACAACATTGAAATATACAGTATTAGTAAACTAATTGTAAGAGGACCAGGGGAAGGGTCATTTATAACCGGTATTTCCGTAACGAAACACTGGATATACTAGATATAGACCAAGGCAAGATGGCCACCAAGGATAACCAGCTGACCTGCTGTTGGAAAAGATCTATGCGGCAAAACAATGAGACATAGGTGAGCTGCGTCAGGAAACAGAATATAAATGCCCCAGAAGCAGTTAGCCGGCGCGGAAGCCAATAAGGTGAAAGCGTTTTGGAGGAAGAAGAGGTATAGGATTGTGCTGGAAGGAATTAAAGAATAACGGACTATTGGATACAGTATATGACAAAGATTTACGGATTACGATTTGGATATGGTGCGGATTAGCGTGGACATACGGGCTTGGACATTTGGATCACTGAAGGATACTGGCAACGGATTACGGAACGGATTTGGGAAACATACAGACGAAAGACAAAGAAGATCATTGTGGTGTCGCTGGGGGAAAACAGGTGTAAAAGAGATGTAACTCACACCACACTGATCTTCTTAAATCCTTAATTATTAATGTTTATTTTAGATTAATGTTGTAATTGTTTATATTTTAAACACACTGCTTCCACTACTATGAATCTCATCTTTAATAACTCTTATGGAGACTTAGAAAGGTTTCTCTTTCAGATATGAAAACTTAGTTTTATAGCACATAATTCTTTATTATAAGTATTTTTTTTGCTTAATATCCATCTGTGTATGAAAAAGTACCTTAATACAATTAATTGCTATAGAAGCAATATTTACAAAAAAGGCATTGAAACAAATTACTCTGGTTGATTTATAAGTATTTGTGAGGAATAAGGTTCCTTTGCCTTAGTTCAGAAAATCAAATAACTCACATTATTCTTTTTTGGCACTTCAGGCATAGTGAAAAGCTCACCTGTTGTTTTCCCTACATACTGTTAAGTATACCGTCTTATTTGCAATTCAAATTATTTGGTCTTGAATTAAGCATACCCTCTTTTATGAAAGCTGGAGATAGTTACAGTATATCATTTTTTACTTAACAATTCTTGTTTTACTCTCCACATTTTTATAGATGACTCGTGTCTGGAAGATTTTTAACTAGGGATTTTCTAAAAATCAAACATATCACGGTTTTGCATATAAATTAAAATATTGACTGCTCAATCTCAAAAAACAATAACGCATTCTTTAAGAAAATAAAAGTTCTATGTTTATTTTTCAAGTTATGTAATGCTGAAAAGGGTTTCTTGAGCTAACATGAAGAGTTATAATCTTACAGAAGGCACAGCAAATTGCATACTTTACATAAATGGGAATCTAACATAAGTGGGTCTTTTAAAAACCTGCACAGTTATTCTTCTAAGATATCTACAACAGCTGAAGGGTATCCAAGAATCCAGTCAGCATTGACTAAAATCACTTACGTTCTTCCCTACAGTGAAGGGCTCAGTCTGCAGAGGGTAAGGGAAGTATTGCTTCGAGACAAGAAAGCCTGAAGATGGAGTTAAGGAGTGGACAGAATGCAGGGTGTGAGCAGTCTGCACACAGTCAGGTGAGGTGTAGGGTGGTGGAGACACTGAGACCACACAGCTTTGACCTGGCTCTGACCTGCCAATGGAGAACCTGCGTATGGAGCCTCCAGTGGAGCTGGAGCTGGTGCCAGTGCTGGATTGCCAAGAGGGAGTCCGTAGGCTGGGGGCCGTGAGAATCATGGGGATTGTCTCCGTCTGGCACCGCTGCAGTGAGAAGTGGATTGGCTGCTGGGTGGTCTGCTTCGGCCTGAGGCAGGTGCAGCAGTACACTGCCACCAGAGAGCCCACAATGATGAAAGCCACAAAGATGGATCCCACGATGAGGAAGGGTATATAGATTGGTTCTGTTTTTAAACAAAAAAAAAGTTACCTGAAGTGCAGTGTGATTCAAGTTAAAATATTCAGATCACTTAATCAAGAAGTGCATAGAACTTTCACTGTAAAATACCCATCCTGTTTACAAAGAGGAAAATATTAAGGATGACACATCCTACACTTAAAACATCTTTGAATCTGAAATCTTTAGTTTGTTTCACTCTATTAAAAACATTTTTAAAATCAGTTAAAGTAACTGATAATGTTTATAAAAATAGGTATTTACTTGTTTACTATGTCCTGCTAAGGTGATTTTCTTTTAACAGTAAAGTCTAAACTAAACACATAAGGGAACAGAATATGTTTCTAATTTAGGATGGCACAAATTTGTAAGTATACAGTAGAGGTTACAGAGTGTAAATATTGTACATTCATCTGAAGCCTTTACAGTATACTGCAGAATTCTGAAAAACACATTAAAATATACAAACATTTAATTTGAATTTTAAATTGATTTCTTAAGTTATTTAATAGCTTAATGACATTGGGAATAAGGCTTTCCTAGTTCTGGTTATGCTATGTTAGCTACGGAAATTTGCATATAAACGTAATACGTTTCAGCATTAAGAAATCTATGTAAAAAATGTACCCGAGTACTTTTGAAGCAAGAGATACATAATCACAATCTTTGCTCTAAATGATTCTGTGCATAATTTTACAATACAAGATATTGCAGCATCTGTGCAGAACTGCTGATGAAACTTAAAAATTTAAAAGCGTTGTTACTTACTACGATTTAAAAATATCTCCTAAACCGACAAGAAGCCTTCCTTTGGTTAATTATATTTTTGTTAAATACCAAATTTTACTTTAATATAGTAATTCATTAAAGGTTTCCAGAACGTGGAAATAATTTAAAATGATTTCCTTGTAAAATAAAGTAACGTAGATGACAATATTCTAATAAGTATAAGATGGAAATTTAGACAGTATTTTTTTATCCTAGGAACAAAACTAAGCAAATGTTGACTGAACAGTTCTGTAACATTTATGGTCTAACAAGCCTCTTTTTAAAAACAGAAACGTCTGGCAGTGGATTACACCCATTTCAAGCAACTAAAATTATATACTTATTTCACACACGAAAGATTCACATCACAATAGCGAATAACTTAATTAGGTGACACACTCAATTAATCTATAAACCATTTCATAATTATTTAAGTAGTCTAACGATTTGAGTTAACCTTATTTATTTACATTTTTTTTATTGTAAATTCTTATTAACCTTATCTCTTCCAGAATGTGAGAATCACACGCCCTATTCACCTTCTATACGATTTTGTGTAACGACAGCTGATACGAATATATATTTTAAACGTTTAAATAACAGTATTATCTGGCCCTAACAGTATTAGTGTACATAGTTTTTATATGTTTTATAAATAGAAAATACGATACCATCTTTAGTTTAACATTTTCCCTCATAAGGTACTAGTGCAGTGACTTAAAACAACAGTTTCAGAGATTAAGAATTCATATCCTCATTTTAAAATAAGACCTAAAATTAAAACACACATATAAAACTACCGCCGTTAAAGTTTTACCATATTTTAAAGTTTTAAAAATACGATCCCTACTGAATAGTGGTCGGAGATCTATTATTGTTTATATGCAGTAACTGCCTTTTTATTCTTTAACTCTTTCCTGAACCGACACCCTTATAATGTTGATCGAAAACTTATTTTCATAACAACCTTAACGGTTGTTTCAAGTGAAAGCGACAAAACTACATACTTTTATTGTGTTTATATTTGTGTTAACAAAAGTATGAAAAATAGACATTTACAAGAAAAAAAAAGAATTTTCCGTATGCAAGATGACAAATATTTTAAATAACTAAGCGGCTTTGATTGTTACGCGGGGAATATTACATCTGTGTACGAAACGTTGTTAGGGTCTCTATATTATAATTGTCTTTGTGTGATTTATAACTTATCCTATTACAAATGTTTAACCAGAGAACCGGATATGTACAGTAGCCCATATGCAATAGTCTGAAGGTACGATTTATTTCCCTTTGAGGTAGTTACAAATACTACTTTGTCGTTATTATGACTATTGACATTAAATAACACTATTAAGAAAGGTAAACACGATATTAAGCATTGGCAGACGATACATTTTATAGTATTGGATGGACGCAGTAGTGAATCTGTCTATTGTCTATTATTAGTGTAACAAGACAACACTTACGGGCTCCAATCTCGGTGTTTTCCATTTCTCTGTCATTAGTGCAAGTGCCCTGAGCCAGCCTGGCGTCCGCGGCCGCACAGCAGTATCTCAGAGAGCAAGAGCCACAACAAACTGTTGCATCCAAAGTATCGAAATCTTCAGGACACTGAAAACCCTCATGGTAATTCCCACTGCTATCCAACCAGCCATGGCAATATTCCCCCTGAGCATTAGATATCCTCATATTCCAGGTGAAATACCCCAGCAGAAGGCAGGTCAGTAAACGCATCATCCTGTCAGACGTTTTTCCGTCGAGTTCGTGGTCCTGCCAGTTTTTTTTATTTATTTAAAAGGACAATATATTTTAATTGCTGGGGGTTTACTTAAAATCCAAAGAGAACAGAATCCAGGTGGTTTCGTTTTCAGCATGTACTGTATAGGATATTTCGGAGTAAAAAAACAGTCTTCTGAACTTTCTAAGGTACACATAGAGACACAACTGTCTTACTCCGTTTCACTATATTTTCATGGTAAAGGCATCGAGATTACATGAAAGGAATCCGGTCTATACGATCGGTATTTTACACAATCTCTTCGAATTAAGAAGGAGTTTAATACAAAATTGAAGATTAACTCAGAACCCTTTTCACTCTGTTCTTTCACTTCTGCGCAAATTCACTTTCAATTAATATAAATTTTTACAACTAATCGTTGCCAATTTGATCTTTCACATATTGCAACTGCTAATGTCTCTTTACAAATGTAACTTTACAAAAGCCCACGGTCTTTTCGGCAAAGATCAGATTTTATCCAACAAGCCTGTCACATTCATTCTAGCAGACGTTCAGGTATCTCTGTTTTACATCAGTGATCTGTCACAACACTCGCTGTACGTTAAATGGCACACTAACGTCATTTCATATCAGATGGTTAGGCATGCTTGGAAACGCGCACGCTTCTAATTGACTTGACGTGCGCATTCACGTACTGAAGGAGTGTGAGTAACAGATGCCTCTCTAAATCCAAGGGAGGGTCAAATGGTCAAAACCACGGGACGGAAAAATGTTATTTTGTTATTTTACTTCAAGAGTAAAACTGGCTTGAACTGATATATTGTAAATCTGTTAAACATATTGCGCTGCATATGATTTTAAAGATACCCCCTTTTCTTTCTTTTCGGTGTGTTTTTACATTTTAAAATATCAATAGCAGTCAAATGGGAATAATTTTAGGTAAACGTTACTTATTTACAGGGAGTACGGATTATAACTTTAGATAGTAAGAAAAGGCAGTCAACCTCACAAAATTGACGTAGCCCTTAGTCTAAAAATATAAAAATGATAAATTATAACTTTATGAATACTATCTTTTTAATGTTTACTAAAATTATTAGTAACATTTTGTCGGGGAGGTTTTACTTTCAGATTTCTAAACTAATGTAGACCGTCCTTACATTTGTAAGGCAAAAACTTAGGACGATATTATTTATTTGCTCTGTCCTATGCCTAAAAGTTTCCAACCTCGAACAGGTCATTCCTTTACGGTAAGAAAAGCTACTGCTTGTAAAACAACAACAGAGATTCTTCTTTTTATTATTTTACAGTATAAAAGGTAGCGTACTTGTTTGGACCGGAAAAAAATGATTAACTTTACAATTGTGTGAAAGGATAAACATTAAATTCTTGAATATTGAAAAATTATAATAATTAAAAAATTACATTTAAAAAATATAATACATTTAAAATATATTTTTTAAAAAAACTACACTGTAAACATGTGAATTCTAATGTTAATGAAGATTTTTAAATAACGTCTATGAGGATTAGTACAAAACAACAGCAGAATGTACAGTAAAAATACTAATGAAAAGGTTAATGCTAAAAATGTTAGAAGCTTTTCATAATTTTAATGGTTTGAAGTATCTTTATTTACGTCTAAATTATTAAGTTTTCAATAAAATGTTGTACCACCGAAATATTAATAACTGTCCTTTTATAAGTTGTGTCACACTTGCTGTACAGTACCTGGCGCAGCACAATTCTATTGATCCATGGCCCTCTTGTGGAGATTGGTGGAGTTTTTTTCCCTGTTCACCTCGAATTTTTGATGTCCTGCCTTGGACTGTTGCTTGCCATCTTAGGATCTAGTTTTCTCCCAGGTTCAGTACTGGATAAATACTTTTAGAAAATGGATGGGTGATGAAGAGATAGTTGCTATGCTGAGACAACTATAACTGTCACACGATCTGAGTTATACTCAGTTAAGTGTGTGGATAAGGGAGTCTTTATCACCCTAATACAAATCCTTGAAAGTTATGATGTGCAGGATTTCATCTGCTCTCAACATTTGTGTGATATTTGAATTGACACTCTTGATGTACAAATAGTGGGCAAAAAACCTGAAACACCAATGTAAAGACACTTAAAAAGCAGTTGGGCTGTATGCCCTGTGTGTGCCATGTTAAAGTGCTTTCCAGTGTCTAGAATTCAGCAGGAGGTATGCAGCTCAATTCTAGCTTTTTATAGCTTTCCATTACAAACAGTACGGCAGGTAAAAATCAGTACTACACAAAGCTGGTGCTCTGGAATAATAATAATAAAGAGGCAGAATAATTTCAACACTATGAAAACCTCAGAAAACACAAGTTTAAGCAGGCGTACTCTGCCCTGTTCAGGACAGGCACTGGCACCAACATAACCCTGAATTGGAAGAAGCAGTTAGAAGATGGAACTAAAGAAACAGAGGGAGGTTCTGTGGGCTAAAGTTCACACCAGAAACAACTAAAAGAGATGAGCAATGATCTGAAAAAGTCGCAGCAATGCCACTCCAGCCTCTAGGTGGAATTAGTCTGCAGTAAGAGTTCACAAAGGTGTCCTGTGTGTTGAGGGAAAATACAGAAGTTCTTCTGTTTAATAAAGCTTGATCCAGATGAATGACCTTCCCCCAAGATAGATTTTAATCTAAGTGTTAGACACTTTGAAAACAATTTTTAACAAATCATGTTCTTTAAAAACAGCCAAAAGATCCAATGCCAGAAAGTTCTATAAAACTCAATAGGTAAACTACCAGTCCCAGAGCCTTGCCCATTTTGAAAGTCTTCAAACCTATTATCTCCTCTGCAGAAAAGTCCCTTTGACAAAACAGAATAATTCCCTACAATCTTCAGAATCCCATTTACAATTTTTTCTAACAACTCATTTGACATCTGTTTCTTTCCAAACAATTCCCCACAAAAATCCTCAGTTACAGTGATCTTCCATCAAAGTCTTCAAATCACCAGCCTGCCCTTTCAATCCCGACATTAGTCCCCTACCAACAATAGTTTTCTTTAAAAAAAAATAATCTTGTATATTTTTCTCCCTCCTCTAGCTCCTTCACTTTGCTTTGAAACATTAATTTTCTTAACATTTTCTGTAGATCATTTCAACAAATCATTCTGTAATTCAGTGCTTTCCACACTCTTCATCCATTAATCTAAAATGCCTCTGTAATGTCTTTTGTAATTCTTTTGTAACTCTCCGTAACCTCTCCCTTTTATCTTTTACCATCTCTATAAAGAAAGATATTATGTGCTTCTCCTTCCACCTATATCTACTATATATACATATACATATTGTAACGCCCTCGCCTGGTGGTGAGGAGGAAGCGCCCCTAGGCGCTCGTAGTACCGCTGGGCATGCTGGGAGTGGTAGCCGGGGAGAGTCTGAGGGTCAGCACGATGACCAGCGGCTGACCCTACCTGTGTAAATAATGTCCTAGTAATTCTAGTGCCCTGTGTAGTCCTGTAAAAGTATAGTGTGTTGTTACTGTAGGTAATTACCACCCTAAATATGTGTACGTGTTCCGTCAGTCTCCTCATGTGTGTGTAGATCCTGTGTTTGGTTTTTGTGTGGTTGTTAAATAAAGCTAGTGCTAGCTTAATCGCGTCTCCACTGTTCTTTACTTCTGAAAAGATCCTGCAAACGCTACATTGGTGTCAGAAGCAGGCAGAATGAACAACTCGTGGCAGACACTACCCGATTCTGTTAAGCGCCGGCTGACGCTGAAAGACACAGAACCCATCGGTGGCGCATATAGGGAGCCTGAGCAACTCCTGGGTGCGACAGGTGGCCATAGCCCTTACCAGGGCTACCCAGTAGTGGTCCCGCCAGTAGAATTGGGGCGGCTGCCCCGGAGAGAGGATGCCCTCCCTGCTGGAGCCGATCAGCGATTCCTACACCCATCGGTGCGGGTGCGACCAGGTCGCTACGATGGTGAAGCGCCTTGGGAAACCTATGAGGGGCAGTTCCAGCTCGCGGCCCGGACAAATGGCTGGAGCCGGGCGGAGATGGCCGGCCACCTGGCGGTGGCGCTGGAAGGAGCGGCCTGCCAGGTGCTCCTGGACGTCCTGGAGGAGGACAGAGGCGACTACACTGCGCTGGCAGCAGCCCTCCAGCTGCGGTTCGGTGTAGAGGAGGCGCCGGACTTGATGTGGGAGAGGCTGGCCCTGCAGCGGCGCCGACCAGGAGAGCGACTGGGCCCGGTCGCCGCGGATGTCATGTTCCTCGCCCGCCGAGGATACCCAACTTTCCCCCGGGAGGCGCAGCGGGAGATGGCTCTCCAGGCCTTTCTCAAGGCCCTCTCACCCGAGGAGCTGCTGCGCCACGTGCAGCTGGCCGCGCCAACATCGCTAGAGCAGGCCTTGGCCCTTGCTACACGGGCTGAGGCAGTGTTCGGGGTGACTGGAAGCGCCAGCAGACGCAGTGCGCCCTGCCGGCTGACCAAAGCGGCGACGGAGGAATCCACGAAGGGGGAAGAGGAGCCGGCCTGTGCAGCGACCCCCGCGGAACAGCCCCGCACGCTGATTTGCAACCGCTGCGGGAAGAGAGGACACCGAGCCCGGTTCTGCCGGGCACCCGAACCTCGCACTCCCCGATCGGCGTCGGGAAACGGGAACGGGGCGGCTCAGCGCGGAGAAGGCTGCCCTTGAACACCTCAAACCCCGCTCCGGAGAGCGCTGTAAAAATCGGCGCCCCTCACGCCACCGTGGGGCGAGTCGGCTGTAGCCGGGGCCTGTACCTCCACTGCCGAATCGAGGACCAACCCTGCCTGGCCCTACTCGACACCGGTTCATCGGTAACCCTACTCCGGCCGGGCGTCCTCCCCGACACCGAGGGCACCAACCCCCCAGGATGGGAGGCCTCCAGCCTGCGGCTGAGGACCGTGACGGGACAGCTCGCTGCAGTCCAGGGGAAACAGGTGCTTGCCTTCCGTCTGGGTGCAGCGACGGTGCGCCACCCCTGCTACCTTGTACCCATCCAGGAGGACTGCATTTGGGGCTGGACCTACTGCAGCAGCGGCGACAGCCGCCGGGGCAGACCAGGCCTGCGAGCCGGGGAGCGAGCGTGCCGGATCCTGCCCCCGAGTCAGCCGGGGGGCCAGACAAGGTGGCGGCGGCGGGGGCCGAGCGTTGCGTGGAAGCGAGGCGTGCCGTTGAGGACCTCTACCAGCGGAGCTGTGAGGGCCTCGATCAGGACCAGCGGCAGCGGCTCCAGGAGCTACTCGCCCAGAACGAAGACCTCTTTGCGGCGAGAGATGAGGACTGCACCCGCACTGCTCTGGTCCAACACGAGATCAATACCGGCAACGCTCGGCCCATCCGCATCCCACCGGGACGCATCGTTCACACCAAGCGGACCGCCACCGAGGAAAAGATCCGGGAGATGGCCGCAGCGGGGGTGATTGAGCCCTCCGCGAGCCCGTGGTCGGCGCCAGCCGTACTGGTAAAAAAAAAAGACGGCTCATGGAGGTTCTGTGTCAACTACCGCAAGCTGAACGAGGTCACCTGGAAAGATTCCTACCCCCTGCCGAGGATAGATGACGCCCTAGACTACATCACCGG